TTATTTATTGCAAATGACTTTTGGTCTTATAATTTTGTTAGTTTTCTTATATCTTGGATATCAGGCCCTTGTCAAAGATTTTTTTATATAAATATTTTTCTAGTTGATTCCTTTTCTGTTCTTACTTGTATTAATTATGTTTGTATAAAAGCCTTTAAATGTAATTTATTTGAAATTATCTATTTTATCCTTTGTAATCATTCTGTTGCTTCTTTGGTTAAAATTTACTCCCTTACCATAGTGGTGTAAGGTACATGATATGATTTTCTTCTAGTTTTTTTATGGTATGATCTTTAATATTCAGGTTACATATCCATTTTGACTTTAGTGCCACATATGGTATAAATTCTTACTTTTATAATGTGTGGTATAAGTATATACTCTAAACCTAGGTGCCCAGGTGCTATATAGTTTTCCTGCCATTATTTTTTTTTTCAGAAAAGGAATTCATTCCTAAGTAATTAATTTTTTTTTTGAGGAGGACTAGGAGTTTTTCAAACACTGGGCTATTCATTATATCTTAAACTGGTATCTTCTTTTATTTAGGATGGTAACCTAAACTCTTTTTCTGAGATTAATGCAGTTCTCTTGCCTTATCCAGTTCTGCTATATATTCTCTATATACCATTGGGCACCATGAGGCTCAGTTTCTATATCTGTAAAATGAGGCTATTATTTACAATACTATTACTATGGTCATAAATCATCTTTTAGGTAAATTATTTTCTGGAAAGATTTTCAAAGATGGTTACTTTTATTAATTTTTTTTTCCAAATCTTATCAGTTGACATTTTAGATAGTGATATTTTCTAAATAGGAGCCCACACTCTGCTTTACTTGGCTGTGTAGCCTCATAGTATGCATTAACTACCCAAGCCTATTGGTGTTTAATTGGTGGCTAACATGGCCTCAGTACTTACTAAGTAAGTATTAGACGTAATACCTTTCAGGGAGCTTACAATGTAACTGGGTAGCCAATAATATACATGAAAAAATTATACAATCCCATAAGATGTATATAAGTTGTGCCATCATTTAATGAATTTGTGATCTCATTGAACTAAGTATTTCTTCTATCTTTATATATCATACCTTCTCATCCTATGAATTTTTGTCCATGTTCTCCCATAAATCCTCCACGGAGGAGGTATCAGCCATATTGGATGTTTTCTGAACATTTTGTGGATACTAAACCATGTTGTGATTATCCATCTACTACTCTATAAATTATATTCTAGAGGCTCTAAATGCTGTAGTAATTCAGAAAATGGTGAGATTAGTTAGAGCCAGAGAAGTGAGGGAAAGCTTTCTGGAGAAAATGATATGAAATAAACTTTGAAATAGATAGTTTTGGGTAGATGGAAAGGAGACAGAATGTCACACCAAGTAAAGAGAACAGATTGGCAGAGGCAAGAAAATGGCAATGAGTATAACGTTTCCAAGACAGTGAGCAAATCAATCTGACTTCATGAAGTGGAACATTTGGGAGAGTATGGTGAAATATGTTTACAGTTAGCATAGGTAAGACCATCTTTTTGAAGACCTCAGAAGCCAGACAGAGGAGTTTGGAATGGATATACTTAGCACATGGAGCCAGTGAGGGTTGTGGAAGTAAAATAATGAAAAGTAGTATTGAAGGAAAGAGAATAGTGATGTTGTGCAGAATGGTTTGAGGAGGAAGATCCAGGAGATATCTAAAATGCAAAAACAATTATCAAAATAATAACAAACTATTAACAACCATATAAAAATATTTTAAATCACTAATAACATGAAAAGTGCATGTCACTGTTGTGAGGTGATGGAGGTCTAGGCCGTAATGGTTGAGTACTCATGGAGGGAAGGGAAATGAAAGACATTTTGGCAATTAATCATTAACCAAACAGTTCCAACACTCCTTCATTCATTCATGGCAGCTAAGTAGTACAGTGGATAAAATGTCAGGCCTAGAGTGAAGAATGCTTGAGTTCAAATTTGGCTTCCAACATTCCTAGCTATGTGAACCTGGGAAAGTCACTTAACTTCTTTTTGCCTCAGTTTCCTTACTTGTAGAATGGGGATGACAATTATACCAACATTCCAAGATTGTTCTGAGGATCAAATGAGACATTTATGAAGTGTTTAGCACAGTGCTTGGCACATAGTAGGTGTTCTTTATATAAATGTTAGTTACTATTATTAATGTAACAAGCAACATTTCATTGATTGATGTTTAATAATAAACATCATTTAGCTCATTAAACATGATGGATTTAGGTAGTCAGGTTTTTGGCATCATTAAAAATGAACCATATTTTCATGTATCCCTTTCCTTCCCCTCCCCAAGAGTCACCCCACATGACAAATAGTATTTTTTTAGAGAGAAAAAGAAGTCAACACAACTGATTGATATTTTAAGAAAGTCTAAAAACATATGCAATGTCTAATACCTGTGGACCTCCCACCTATATGAAGGGGTGGATCACATGTGTCTTCTCATGTGTCTTTATTTAAGTCCAAATACATTTTTATAATTTTGTTATATTTACTTTTGATTATTTGGTATGTCACTGTTCTTTCCATTTGCATTGTTGTAGTTACCATGCATGCTATTTTCTTGCCTCTGCTTACTTAACCCTGCATCAGTTCATATATATCTTTCGTGCTTCTCTGTATTTATCTCACACATCATTTCTTAAAGTACAGTAGTATTCCATTGCATTCATGTACCACAATTTGTTTAGACATTCCCTAATCAATATGTATCTACTTTGTTTCCCATTATTAGCTATCACAAAAAGTTTTGCTATAAATGTATTAGAATATATAGGTACTTTTTTCTTATCGATGGCTTCCTTGGTGTATACGCCCAGTAATGGAGTGTCTTGTTCAAAGTGCATGGATATTTTAGTCAGTTTATTGCATAATTCCAAATTGCTTTTTAAAATGGTTATGCCATTTCACAGGACCACCAACAATGTATCAATGTACCTGCCTTCCCACAAACCTTCCTGCATTTACTTGACATATTTGATAATTAATAGGATGTAGGTAAAACCTTGGAATTGTTTTGATTTGCATTTCTGTTATGACTAATGATTTGAAGAACTTTTTCATGTGCCTGTGAATACTTTTCTTTGATAAAATGAAAACCTTTTTGAGAAATGAAACCATTTTTTGAAAGAAGGTGAGAGGTGAGAAATGTTTGTTCGTATCCTTTCACAATTTATCTATTGGGGAATGGCTATTAGTTATGCATGCACATATGCACATCTATATACAATATATATATATTTGTTTATTATTTATATATCTCTGATAGCAAATCCTTTTCAGAGAAATTTAATAGGAAGATTTTTTCCCCCATTCAACCACTTCCATTTTATGTTGTCTGTTCAGAAGCTTTTCAGTTTCAAGTGATCAAAGCAATCTATTTTGTCTTTTTTAATTGCCTCTCTTGTTTGGTTCAGAATATATCTCTTATCCATTTCTGTGGGAGGCATATCATCTGTTTCTCTTTTAATTTTTTTATGGTATGATCTTTAATATTAAAGTCACACAGCTATTTAGAATGTGTTGTGGAGTGTGGTGTAAGATGTTGGGAAAATGAAGCATATTGTCTTATGTGTATTTTAATAAGGATTTGTAGATTCATTAACTCTAATTTCAAGATGGCTTCATCTAAATTACAGATTCATAAGTCTGTAATATGCTACAGATGGCTTCTTTCAGGGTGTGTTATAGTCTTCAAACTCACGACTGTGAAGCATGAAGTTTAAAATGTGAACTGAAACTGAATCCTGTGACTGAGATGAGAAAATCTATTAAACAACTTTAGTTAGTCACCACATCATAACTTTCAAAAATTTTGCTTATAATGGTAAGCTTTTTTTTTCTTAAAAAACAGTTAAGAAGATATTAATAAAGGCTGCAGGTTATAGCAGAAAGAACAATGGATTTGTAATCAAGGACCCTGGTTTCAAGAGCTGACTCTGCCACAGACTTGCCTGGTGATCTTAGGCACATCATCTAATCTTTCTGACCCTTGGTTTTCTCATTTGTAAAACTGGTGACTATTTTTTGTACTTAGCTTTACAAGCATGTTATGAGTCAAAGGGTATGTATGCTTTAGTGACTTTTTAGATAAAGTTTCAAACAACTTTCCAGAAAGTTTGTGCCACATTACAACTACATCTTCAATGCATTAATGTGCTTGTCCTCTGATAGTTCCTTTGACAACTGTCATTTTCATTTTTTTTTTTTGGTCAACTTTGCTTATGAAAGGGAACCCCTGATTTTTAATGCATACTTTTCTTGTTATTAGTGATTTGGAACATTTTTTTTCCATTCAGTTGTTGATTGTTTTTATTTTGAGAACTGCCTATTTATTTCCTTTGACAATTATCTCTTGAGTAATGGCCCTCATCCTCACATGTTTATTTGTTTTATATTTATTTATTTTATATTTTTTTGTAAATGTTCACCCATTTAATCTAAATTTTGTTACATAGCCATAGTTGTAAGCCTTTATTTATTATCTTTTATATATTATCTTCCATGATTTAATCTACTTCATAATAGTTACAATATAGTCTTGTATGTTCTTGACTGTGGCTCCTTGATGCTTGACCATGGCATTCTTTGGTGTTTTTAGTTTGGGGTTTCTTTCAAGATGTGACTGGTTGGTTGTTTCAATTTTCACTTTGCCTTCTGGTTTGGATAAATCTGGATAATTTTCTTTTAAGATTTTATTAAATATATTGACCAACTTTTTTGTGTCATCATGCTTTTTATGCTGAATGATACTGAAATGATCTCTCCTCAAATAGTTGTTTGTGATAGTAGATACCTTACATTTTCTTCTATTTTTTAAATCTTTTAAGTCTCTCCTGATATTTTTTGTTTTTTTATTAGTTCATTTATTCCATCTGTTTTTTTTTAGTGAGTCATTATTTTCCTTTTAAGTTTTTCCTCTGCAAATCTAATTTTATTTATAATTTCATCTTTTATTACTTTATTTCTTCCAGTTACTCTTGTAGTCCTCATAGACAAGATTTTAATTTTTTCCCCTGAGACTCTGCTTATTATTGTGGATTACTTTCTTCTTTGAGTCTACTTCTTGGATTTTTCTTAAGTCATAATATTTCTTCACTATGTCCAGTATTTTCCTCTGTTTATTCTTATTTTGCATAATCCTCCAGCACTCTTTCATGGATTAGAAGACTTTGGTCCTGTTCTTTCTATAGTTTGGATTCTACCTCTACTGCCTATCTGGATGGAGTGGTTGCTGTTTGTCTTCATTTCTTCATCAGTTGCTAGCTTCTGTCTCAGTTTTTGGTGGTCCACTATGACTTCTGCCCTTAGAAATAGTCTATCTTCTTGAACTTCTTAGGGTGAAGCCTAGATGGCAGAGTAGAGAAAGCACTCAGCTGAGCTTGCCCAACATTCCCCCCCAAACAACTTTAAAATAATGATTCAAAATGAATTCTGGAGTCGTAGAACCAACAAAGGTAAGAGTGAGACATTCTTCCAACCCAAGACAACTTAGGAGGTCAGAAGGAGAGATCAAAGTCATGGGGGTGGAGGCTGACCTGAGCCCACATGGATGAAACACCAGTGGTGAGAGGAGATGGTGGTGACAGAAGCAGCAGCAGCTTCGGGAGCTTTCAAATCTGGGATGGAAAAGGAAACCTGGAAACTGGTCAAAAAGAGACTACAGGGTCTCCTGTGCTAGCACTGGATGCAGAAACAGGCATTATTTGGAAACTCCATTGAATATACTCCCTTCTAAGTTATAGTTCAAGGTGGAGAGCAACATTTTTTGGTCAAGAAGGAGAGCTGGCCCTGAGGGGCAGTATCACTTTTGATCATAAGGGATTGGGCTATGAAGGGCAGGACTGATTGCAATCCCAAAGGATCAGGGCCCTTCCTGGGTAAGGACCAGAGTTCAGATCAGGTAAGTAGTGATCACACCTCTCTCCAGATCACACTTGGAAGCACTAAAAACTTCCAACTCCTCTAGAACTAACTCTGTAAATAGCAGTGCTAAAAAGCCTGAAGCTTGATAAAGTGCCCCTTACCTCCTCCTGCCACTCCTCATACACACTGTGAACAGAGAGCAATTTTAATGTAAAATTCAGAATTAAGAAATAGTGTGGAAAAATGAACAAAACAACTAACACCACAACAACAAAAAAACCTGACCATAAAAAATCAACTATGGTACAGGGAAGATTAAGACATTAACTCAGAAGAAGACAATGAAGTTAAAACAGCTACAAGCAAAGCATCAAACAAAAAAACAGTGAACTGAAAACAAACCCAACAAGAATTCCTGGAAGAGGTAAAATTTTTTTTCAAAATAAAATAAGAGTCGTAGAGGAAAAAAATAGGCAAAGAAATGAAAGCAAAGGAAGAAAATTAAGTAAAGGTAATTAACATTTTGGTTAAAAGAGGGGCAAAAGATACTTAAAAGACTTAAAAGAGGAATAAAAGATTTTAAAAGAGAGAATTGATCAAATAGAAAAAGGGATATAAAAATTAACTGCCCCCCCCAAAAAAAAACTCCTTAAAAAAGCAGAATTGGCCAGATGGGGGAAAAGGGTATAAGCTCAGTGAGAAAAATCATTCTTTAAAAATTGGAATTGGCAAGTGGGAGCTAATGACTCCATGAGACATCAAGAAACAATAAAAATTAGTCAAAAGAATGAAAAATAGAAGAAATATGAAATGTATAATGAGGAAATTATCTCACATGGAAAATAGATTCTGGAGAAACAATTTAAGAATTATTAGACTACATGAAAGCCATGATGAAAGAGAGCCTAGATATCATATTTCAGGAAATTATCAAGGAAAACTGCCTCAATATCCTTTAGTTGGAGGGTAAAATACAAATTAAAAGAATCCACCAATCACCACCTGAAGGAAATTCCCAAATGAAAACTCCTAGGAATATTATAGCAACTTCCAAAACTTGCAGGTAAAAGAGAAAATACTTCAAACAGTCAGAAAGAAACCATTTAAATACCATGGAGCCACAATGAGGATCATAAAAGTTTTAGTAGCTACCATGTTAAAGGAGTGGAGGGCTTGGGATATGATATTCTGGAAGACCAAATAGCTGGGATTCCAACCAAGAATAACCTACCCAGCAAAAATGAATATTATCCTTCCAGGGAAAAATGGTTATTTAATAAAATAGAGGACTTTCAAATATTTCTGATGAAAAGACTAGAACTGAATAAAAAAATGACTTTCGAACACAAAACTCAAGAGAAGCATAACAGGGGAAACATGAAAGAGAAATCATAAGGAACTCAAGGTCAAACTGTTTACCTTCTATATAGGAAGATGATACATGTTTCTTCTAATCACTTTATCATTGTTAGAACAGTTAGAAGGATTTTATATAGAAAGAGGGTACAGGAGTGAGTTGATTATGTTGGGATGATATAAAAAAAAGAAGGGTGCAAGAAATATAAGAAAGCAGGATGTCTTGGGAGACAGATGAAGAGAGAGAAAGAATGGGGAAAATTATCTCACACGAAAGAGGCACACAATGAAGAGCTTTTACAGTGGAGGGGAAAATGGTGGTGGGGGTGGGGTTGGGCAATGCTTGAACCTTGCTCACATCTGAATTGGTTCAAAGAGTGTATATAATATATACATATATAATATGTACACACATATATATACACACATATGCATATACATACATATATATGCATCTATATGTATATATGTGTGTATATGTATATATGTGTGTATATGTGTATATAAATGTATCCTGGAGTCAAGAAGACACATTCAAATCTGTATGACCCTGGGCAAGCCGCTTAACTTTGCTTGCCTTGCCTCAGTTTTGTCATCTGTAAAATGAGCTAGAGAAGGAAATGGCAAAGCATTCCAGTACCTTTGCCAAGAAAATCCCAAATAGGGTCACAAAATGTTGGACACAACTGAAACAAGTGAACAACAACAACAACAGCACACACACACATACATACTTACATACATACATGCATACATACATGCATACACACATGCATACATACATACATACATATATAATGTATATCCAATTGGTCATAGAAGTCTGTCTTACCTAACAGAGAAGTAGGAGGGGAAAGGGATATGAGAAAGGGGGTGGTGTGATAAAAGGGAGGGCAGATAAAAGAAGGCAGTTTTCAGAAGCAAAACAGACTCTAGAGGAAGGACAGGATAAGAAGAAAGAGAGAAGGATGAGCAGAAGAAAATAAATTGGAGAGAAATGATTTAATAATCATAATAATCATAACTGTGAATGTGAATGGGATAAAATTCCCCATAAAACAGAACTGGATAGCAGAATGAATTAGAAACCAAAATCCATCAATATGTTGTTTACAAGATTCATACATAAAAGAAAGACACAGAGAGAGCTAAAATAACAGACTAAAGCAGAATCTATTACACTTCAGCTGAAGTAAAAAAGACAGGAGTAGAAATTCTGATCTCAGATCAATAGCAAAAGTAGATCTAATTAAAATGGATAAGAAATTATGTTTTACTAAAAGGAACCATAGACAATGGAGAGATATCAATGATAAACACACAACATATCTAATGGCATAGCATCCAGATGCTTGTAAGAAAAGTTAAATGAATTATAGGAGGAAATACAATAAAACTATAGTAGTGGAGGGATCTTAACTTTTCCTTTTCCCAGCTGGATACACCTAACCATAAAATAAAAAAGAAAGGAGTCAAGGAGATGAATCTTAGAAAAATTAGATATGATAGATCTCTGGAGAAAAATGACTGGGAATAGAAAGGAGTGTACCTTTTTCTCAGCTGTACATAGAAACTTGATCATGAATAAGGCATAAAAACCTTACAACAAAATGCAGAAAAACAGAAATATTTAATGTATCCTTTTCAGATCATAATGAAATAAAATAAAGGGCCATGGAGCCTTTTATAAAAATAATAAGTAGTATCTATTGAAAACCAAGAGCAAATATTATAATTAATGGGGATAAACTAGAAGCCTTCCCAATAAGATCTGAGGTGAAGCAATAATATGCATTATTACCACTATTATTCAATATTGTACTAAAATGCTAACTATAGCATTAGGACAAGAAAAAGAAATTGAAGGAATAAAAAAGTCAACAAGGAAACAAAATCATGACTTTGTAGATAATATGATGGTATATTTAGAGAACCCTAGAAAAACAACTAAAAATTAGTTGAAACAATGAACAACTTCAGCAAAGTTGAAGCATATAAAATAAACCCACAAAAATCATCAATATTTCTATACAGTACCAACAAGACCCAGCAAGAATAGATAGAAAGAGAAATTACATTTAAAATAACTGCAGACAATATAAATACTTAAGAATCTACATATCAAAACAAACCCAGATTATACGAATACAGTTACAAAACACTTTTGTGCAAATAAAGGCAAGTCTAAACAATTGGAGAAATATTAATTGCTCATGGGTAGGCTGAACCAATATAATAAAAATGACAATTCTACCTAAGTTTATTTACTTACTCAGTGTCATACCAATCAAACTAACAAAAATTATTTTATAGAGAAGGAAGGAGGGAGAGAATTTGGAGCTCAAAATTAAAAAAAAAAGTTTTATAAATGATTTACAATTGGGAAATATTTAGTAAACATAATTTAAAAAATCTATCTTCTTTATCCTCATGATTCTCAATGGGAGAGAGTTCTGTCTTCTGATGTAGCTTTGATAGGGCTGTTGAATATTATGCTATTCTCAGGATCCCATTATAGTCTCTCTGACAGCGAGTTGGGCTTATCTCCTTCTATGGCTTCTGGTACTTCTAGGACTGCAGAGTTGGACCCTGTCTTTAAGGATGAGTGACTATTTTTGTGACTAGTTCTGTTACTAAAATTTTGACAGGTCAGGATCTGAATCCGACTTTAGGTCACTGATTACAAGAGCTTGCACTGGTTTTCAATCTCCTTATTCAGAATGTTCTCTAAATGTTCACTCTTTCATTAATTTTATAATTCATTCATTGACTTAATTTATTTTGTCATCCTCTATATTGATGTCACTCTGTGTTTGTAGCTTTCCTTATATCTGCTCTTTATTTTATTGAAGAATCCCACTGAAACTAAGACAGAATATGTCTAACAATGTCAATATGCAGTCATTGAAAAAGTAAATATTAAGCCAACTAATATACAAGAAGTATAATACATGGTTCCTATTCTCAAGGAACTTACTTTCTAGTTGGTGAGATTAGCCTACCAAATTAAGAATATTTTTTGGTGTAGAGGAAATTATATGGAGCTGGAAGGAGAAGAATTTGAAGCAGAGCACAAAGAATGGGTAGGATTTAAAAAGGCAGAATGGAGGAAGATTACAATCTAG